TGTCGGTCGTGGGGCTTGAACTCTGGGCCTGGGTGCTGTCCCTCAGCTCTTCAGCTCAAGGCGAGCGCTCTACCACTTGAGCTACAGCGCCACTTTCGGTTTTCTGGTGGTTTATTGGAGAGATAAGAGTCTCATGGACTCTCCTGCCCGGGCTGGTTTTGAACCGAGATCCTCAGATCTCAGCCTCCTGAGTAGCTAGGATTACAGGCGTTGAGCCACCAGCGCCCAGCTTGCAGCAGTAACTATTGCTACTTCATGTGAGGAAAATGGGAGTGAAACACACACTCTTTAAGTTCTTTGGGATACACTCTTATGTATTTGAGTTACTTCACATAGTAGGTGTTCACGAATATCTGTCATCTAGTTTTCAGGGAGAACTGTCACTGAAAAACTTTCATTTCTGAACAGAACTTCTGTTTAAAAATTATCTCCTTTTCCCATTTACCTAAAGATCTGGAAGGGAAATTAAAAAATAGAGTCAAAATTCCTACCAGGGAGTCAACCCAAATATTTAATGGAAAAAAGCATTTTGCCCAATTTATGTTATTTAAGAATTCACTCAGTTTAAAGTATAAATCTCAAAATATATACATAAAACTTTGAAGGAACTTCTAAATTTCTTTTTCTTTTTGTCAGTTGTGGAGCCTGAACCCTAGGCCTAGGTGCTGTCCCTCAGCTCTTCAGCTCAAGGATAGCATTCTACCACTTTGAGCCACAGCACCACTTCCAGGTTTTTCTACTTATGTGGTGCTGAGGAATTGAGCCCAGGGCCTCATGCATGCAAGGCAAGCACTCTACCACTGAGCCACCTTCCCAGCCCAACTTCTAAATTTCTTGAGTACATAAAGGATCATCAATTTTATTTCTTTGACAATTATTCAAATGTAAGCAAATAATACCACTGTAGTAGTCTGTCACAGTACTGTCTGAGCAGAAGCTATCATCTTTTATTAAGTGCTCAAAAAGTTAAATTAGTCTGTATTTGGTAGTTTCCCTTCAAAAGAAATGAATCTAAACATCTAACCTTTGGTCATAGTGATACAAAGAATTCTTGTACAAACTAATTTACATATGTTTTCAATACTGAATAAGAAAACTAGTAGGACAAATTATCATACTTACATGTGGAAGAAGGTGTAACAAAGCATCACCACTCAAAGTCCCAACGGCCAATGCCACAAGAAAACTCAGGAGAAATTTGAAAAACACTCGGTTCATAAGAGGCACCAATATAACCCCTAGCAGTGACAGGAAACTGATGATGGAAATGGCTATAAAGCCACCAACCCAGGCTGTTAAAAACAAAGCAACGGAAAATCATACAACTGAACACTTTGAAGGAGACTTGCACAGAGTAGCATAAAGTGACATGCAAGAGAAAAGAAGCTTAAAGGAAACAAACTCAATGCAAATAAGGCTATGCAATAGCACACTAACCACCAATCCTGGTACTAACTCAAATGAGTAACTTGACTGGTTAATTAAGACCCTGTCTCTCCCCCTCCCCCAAAAAACAAACAAAAGAGAGAGAGAAAAAAAATGGGGCTTGGAGGATATAGTTCAGTTGGTAGAGCACTTGACTATAAAGTGTGAGACTTTGGGATCAATCTCTAGTACAAGGAAATTAAGAGGAAGAAGCTAGGAACTCAGTAATTTCCCCACCAAGAAAAGAATTAAACTCCTAAAAAGCAGAGTAAAACGCTGATTCCCGAATAGTCTGACATGAAATAAAAAGCCACAGACATGTCAACAATGTTCTATTTTGGTTCATCTTTTTTTTGAGACAGAGTCTCACTATATATCCGTGGATCAGCTTGAACTTATGATCTTCCTACTTCAGCTTCCCCAGTGTTGGGATTACAGGTGTGAAACACCACACCAGGTTTTACTTTACTTTTGAAAGGATAATAAAACGCTTTCTTCATATTCATGAAAGAACAAGCAAAATAATATTTCTAAAAGTACGAAGCAATAATGGATAAATGCAAACACAAGATGAAACACAACATAATCTACTAGAAATCACTCAGATATAAAAAAGGTAATTCTACCTATCTGTAATGAATAGGTCTTTGGAGGAATTTCAGCCTTCTTTTCACTTGTTGTATGAATCAAACAAGATCTAGCATCAATTTGATTGATGATGGCGGGGCAGAGGTAGTTGAATTCTGTTGCATTCAATGGAATCTGGATGCCCATGCCGTGCGACATAAGCAGCTTTGATGCATTGAAACACTGGAAGAAACAAAGGAATGAAAATAATCAAAAGGCATTCCCATGAGAGAAATAAAAAATGTAGTTGGATGATAAAGCTTTTCCTTACTTGTTTAAGTTAATGCAAGTTAAAATCAACTTCTGTTTTCAGTACTTTGGAAGGTGCCTTCTAGCTACAATGTCACAATGGTGGTAGGCCACCAAACTCTGCCTACTTGGGAGAAGCAATTACATCACTAGTCACTTAGAAAGCCTCAAGTGGAAGAAGCTTGGGGATAAATGGGGATTCATATGCCTGTTAACTCATTGTATAAACCTGTTAAGGAAATGAGCTTTAATTTCGAAATAGGGTTCATTAGATATTGAGAAATCTCTTTGAGTTCTAACTCTGTAGTACTTGGTCTAAACATGCCCATGACATGTTGTTCTTCTAGAAATGACCCTACATGAGAAAACTGAGCTCAGTTCTGCCTACATATATAGCAAAATAACACCCTACAATGAGAAGATACTAAATTATGCAGATTTTTTTTTTTTTTGCAGAGGGCAACACTGATTAATACAAACAAGCCTGTCCCAGCAGGCAGATGTTTTCAACAATTTAATTGGATGAGAAGCTTAGTTTGAAGAAAATCTACTCCATGCTATTTAACCATCTCACTCTTCCAAGGGAAGAAACAAAACAGGAACAAAACAAAACAAAACCCTGGCTGTAAAGATGATTTCACTTTCCCACAACTCTTGGCCAGATTTACTTGAACAAACTTTACTAAAAGTGTTGCTATTGCTATGACCATTGGTGAGATCATTCTAAACTTTGGTACAATAATATACTGGTTTGAATGAAGTACTTAGATTTGCTTATTAAAATATGCCAGCTGCTTTTGTCCTGATGTCTCTCAGGCAAGGTGGATTATGTGGAGTCTAGAAGTCTGTTACAGAAAAGCTACAGGAACTCAGAACCTCCTTGCACAGAGTTCTCATATGTCCAATGCAATGTTCTTAGTAGCTGCTCCATTTTCAGTTATTCCACAAGTCACAGTGATTCTTCCTTCAAGGAGGCAGCACTACTCTGCTTGGTCTTCACCAGCTCATTTAATCTATTTTTCCTAAAATATCTGCTTTGCCAATCCTCTACCTTCTATGTATTATGGAATTAGAACTAAAACAGATTTCTCCATATCTAATGAACTCCATTATCTGTAATATTCATCTTTAAAGATTTTCTCCGAACATAACCCTGATATCTTCTTACAAATTCTTTACTTTTCTTACAACTAGACAGAGTGACAATGACAAGACAATTAAGTTTATTAAAATAATGCACCCATTTATCTTACCTCTTGGGTATTGTCATTTATGTTTCTGGAATACAAAAAGCTCTTTCTGGGTTCACTTGAAGACTCATTTGTTTTCTTACTAGCAATCCGGCCTATTCGTCTCTTCTCTATGATGCTGGGTGGGGTGGAACTGTTTGCATCTTTGTGAAATTTTCCAGGTTTTGGAGTCTCTACTGTCTCTATAAAGTGTGTTCCTTCAGAGACAGTGTTGTACACAGCTGAGGTCACTTCACTAGCACTGACAACTTCCTTGACATTCCTTCTACCACCAGTGTGTTCTGGATGGTGAGATCCTTTCCCTTGTCTGTTTCTAGGATCTTTCCCTGAACTGTCAGAGTCATGGTCTGGGCAAAGGGCTTTCCGATTATTTTTGCCAGAAGCAGCATGATTCCGATGAGAGTGATGCTCATGGTCAGAGTGATCATGATCAGAGTGATGGTCATGCTCAGAATGTTCATGGTCAGAGTGATGTTCATGATCTGAATGATGCTCATGGTCAGAGTGATGATCATGGTCATGGTGTATATGGACCTTTTTAATCTTATCTATGCCTATATTCTGAAGCAACTTTCTGAACCCTTCAACTGATAAGGAATCATTCTCTCCGTAGCGATAGAAGAGCTGTTGTAGATGGTGTCGCCGTGTGGTAATTGCCAATTCAACATTAATGCCAGATTCCCAATTTGAATTAGTTTTCTCAGTGGTCTGAGAGAAAGCGGCTACTGATTCTAGTTCATGAAGGGGATTTGTGACCGAAAGAGCAAAGGTCAGAATAAAGATTACAGATAAATTCCTCGCCATTGCACCCTCCTGGAAGACAGAAGAAAAAAAAATCATGACTTCACTTCTAAAAACTACAATTAAGAAACCTCATAAAAACTGATTTCTAATCAAAATCAATGTTTATAGAGCAGCATTTGGTGTGACCAGTGTGGCTGTAGATGTTATGGAGAATAGGAATACTAGGGTCTCTAGTTCATTGCTAAAACACAGGAAGCATCAGAGCATTAAGAGATTGATTAGCAGTGTAAAAGTACCAGTAATTCAGAGATAAGGGAGATGCATGCGTTCACAACTGTACTGGCATTTTTTTTTTTTTTTTTGTCGGTCGTGGGGCCTGAACTCTGGGCCTGGACACCATCCCTCAGCAATTCAGCTCAAGGCTAGTGCTCTACCATTTGAACCCCAGCCAGATTTTTCTGCTTATGTGGTGCTGAAGAATCGAACTCAGGGCCTCGCGCATTTGCAAGGCAAGCACTCTACTACTGAGCCACCTTCCCAGCCCACATACTGGCAAATTTTTGAGAACAATGATTCAAAAACAAATTAAACCTAACACATCTACCATCACATCATATCACAAAGGATCTTTGAACACCAAAAATAAAACAAAAAAGTAAAGTAGAAAAATTAACCACACTTAAATTTTTTATAGAGGGATACAATTTTCTTACATACAAATCCACTTGTCTCTATTCTAATCTTTTTTTTTTTGGTGAGTTAATATTCAAATCGCACAAATGAGACTCCCCTTACATTCAATAATGAACCAGAATTGTTTTCATATAAGTACACAGATTTCCCTTTTTTGAGTGATTGTGTAAGTTTTTTAAGAACAGTAAATTAAACTTCTTGTACAATGCACTATACTGCTCTCAAATTGTTACAAGCCAATGGAAACTATCAAACTATTCATTCACACAGTAGGTTTGGAGAGCAAGGCCTATGCCCTCAAAGAGGAGTTGGGAATCAGAGTGAGGCTTGAAACAACAGAGCTCAGCTAAGCAGGGAATATTCAGAGAAACCAACAGAGGGATAGCTCAGCACCCAGCAGATGTCCAACACTTAAGCCAGATAGTGGTCAATCCTATGTCTTCAGTAAAAGACTCATATAGGTCTGCTTCGGACTAAATGAGAATAGGGACAACTAAACTCTCCTACTTTCAAGATTGTTCTTCCTTAAGCCAGGCTCTCTCACCTTCACAATTCTTGTGTGCCAAGTCTGTAATACCTATGTTTCAGGCTGAAGAAAATATGGAAGTGCTCATTAAATCCGGATGTTGCCGTGGAGCTGATTTAACATCTTGGGAACGGTGGTGAAGGGAGGCTCATATATAACTAGACTCCTTATAGAACATCTGGGGCCTCAAGTTTCGAGAATTCACTGAACAAGCAAAAGAGAACCATTAAGAAAGTCTTCTCCGGGGAGGGGAGGGGAGAAGTAGGGTGGGTGGGGGACAGGCTTTGGAGACAGTTCCCAGCCGTCCTCGGGGGAGGATGCTGAGCGCTGGGGCTGACCGGTCCCGCCGGCCTCATCAAGTCACCGTAAGTTACCAAAAAGGAGAAAGAAAGCGAAGGGAAACGGGCCTTGGAGGAGGGGCGCGTGGGACGAAAACCCAGCAGACGACGAGGAGATTTCTTTGAAACACTTTTATCTTTTCACACGTCAGTAACGACGAGTACGAGATTAAAAAGTACCGATCATCCTCCCCTCTTCCACCGGAGAGCCCTCTCTGGGCTCCTCCTTCCCCCTCCGCCAGCCAGCCCATCTTCTCACTCCAAGCTGGGGGAGATCAGCACGCCAGGACGAGTGGGCACCCCCGGGGGCCCTCCTCCCAGCATCCCTCCTCTGCCTGGCCCCCGTCGGGGCTGACGCCAGGCCTGCCGGGCTCCCTTCCCGCCTCCCCGATCCCGGACTCGCTGGACTCACCCCCTCCTCGGCCCGGCCCCACGCTCGGGTTCGGATCCTCCGAGGTGGTCTGCCGGGCGTCTTTTCCGCGCTCACCGGGCGCGGAGGAGCGGCGGTCTCCTCGGCTCGACCGCGCCTCGGTCCGGGGTGACCCCCGCGCAGCCACCGGAACGCCCCGCCTCGCGCGCCTCAGCCTCCCCAGATCCGGACAATCGGTAATTACCGCCGCGCGCCGGGACCGCCGCCCCCAGCGGGCGGCACCGCGGCGCAGGCGCAGGCCGGCTCGGGCGCCCGGTCTGCACTGACCGATCCGCTTTTCCGCGTGCTCGCAGACGCCCGGGGCTCGCGGAGGCCGGAGAGGAGGGGGCGCGGCCCCAGCGGCCTGGTAGTGATTGTAGCAGGGTCTCTCCCCTAGGCCTGACAATAGCAGGCCAGGATCTCCCAAGCCAGCACGAGCTGACTTGTTAAACCCGGCCGCGAGGGGACACCGAGGCGCCCCAGTCACGCACCTTAAGTAGCGCCGGGAGAGCCTTGCCACGCCCAGCCAGCGCGCTCAGGAGTGGCCTGAGGGAGGAGAGCGAGAAGCCGCCGGCAGACTCAAGGGCCTCGCGGCAGGCGGGGCAGGGCGGGGCCTACTCCAGGGGCGGGGTCACCCTTGCCACGCCCCCCGTGCCGGTTTGGAAATGAGGTCCGGCAGACGCCTGAGGGAGAAGCGGCCCGGGAGTAGTTCCGCTCCCAGAGCGGAAGTGCACGCCCGGTCTCTCCGCCGCTGACCAGCTGGCATCATGGTGGCGCCTGTGCTTGAGGTTTCTCACGTGTTTTGCTGCCCGAACCGAGTCCGCGGAGCTTTGAGCTGGAGCCCGGGGCACGGAGGGCTTTTGGCTTTCGGCACGTCCTGCTCGGTGGTTCTGTATGACCCTCAGGTACGAGGGGGCCGGCGGAGCCTGCTGGGCGTGCCGGGCGGGCTGTGAGTCGCTGCCCGCGGCGGGAGGCCGGGTGCGCGGTGGGGTCGGCCTGGGTTTAGTCTCGGGGCGGGAGCGGTCTCCCGACGCCTGGGGCTTGTCCCTAGCCTGGATCCCCGCCGCCGGGGTCCTGACTGTGACCCCGCCGAGAAGCCCGAGTAAGAGTAATTTCTGAAACTTGCTGTCTCAGGGTCTGTGGTATTGTTCGGAGGATCAGTTTGGGTTTTGAAAGGAATAAAAGCCATCTTCCTACAGATGGCTTCTCACTCGGTTCTGAGTTTTCCTTAGTATCCGTTAGCACACATATTGATTTTTTTTAAAGGACTGATAACATAAAGCAGACTTTCCCTTGCCCTGAACTAACACACCACACAGCTCAATAAGAGCCTTAGTATAAACGATGAAGCCAGAAATTAAGGTCCAGTAGAGATGTTGGCTCTGTTTTTTATCATACTGCTTTATTAATGTGATTAAAAATTGTTATTCTCACAGTCTTTGCAGATTCAGCTTTTCATATGGAAAATTATTTTTCCCTACTACAGCTTGCTTGTTTTTTTCTTCTTACTGTTGCTTGCCATGTACTCATGAATAGCAAGAGAAAGCTTGAAAGAGCAAGAATAAACTGTAGGGTTACCACTAAAGGTAGGACTCAGTCAGTGGTAGATGTCTTTTTAATGGATATAGTTACTCCAGTGCTTTCCATTCATCCCATTGTAAATAGTAACATTGTGGCCGTGTTAAGAGATATTTAATATAAAAAGTACTGAGCCTAAGAAGCACTTTGTTTTGTTAGATTTGTGTGTGTGTGTGTGTGTGTGTGTGTGTATTTTGCACATTCTGGAGTTTGAACTCAGACCCTCTGTTTGCTGTGCTGACTTCAGCCACTCCTATAGCCAAATTTTTGGTGGTGCTTTAATTTTTTTTTGGTCACATTCATTAAATGACAAAATGTCAAAGAAATCCCCATTTTTTTCTACTTTAGAGTGAATTCAGAATATTAGACTGTTGTAATTAAATGTATTACCTCTAGTATTCAAGGCACAGATAGAGGAGAGAGGCCTTAATTAATAATCCAAGCCTTTTACTAGTTATTTTCAAGATAAGGTCTTTGGAACTTTTCTGTGCAGGCTGGCCGCCAACCTTGATCCTACTACTCTCAGCCACCCTAGTTCTAGTAGTAAGGATTACAGGCATGAGCCACCAGCACTCAACTTGTTGCTTGTGCATTTGATTAAATATAGATGTAAAGCAGGTGAAATGTTTAAATACAGTTTAGGGAATGATACTCATTCAGCACCTTTTTCAGCATTCTCTATGAGATAGCACTGGGTTAGGAGTAATTAACTATTTATTAAGGAATACTCAGTCTGTTGGAGGAAAAATGAAATAACAGAAAATGTGTACAGTATACTAGTTTGTGTACAATATATTAGTTTATGCACCTTTGCCTCTATGTTCCTTTTTTCCCAGCTGTGGGAATTCTGGTTGGCATATAAGCAGACATGAAGCCAGTGCTGTTGACAACAAATAGAGAAGGGGCTGTAGGTCAGTCAAGATGGCTCATACTAAGAATCCCAGCTGTTGGCGAGGATTGTGTCTGAAGCAGGCCCCAGTCAACAATCAAGATCCAGTATGAAAAATGAAAGTAAAAAGGGTTGGAAGTGTAACTTAAGAGGTAGAATGCTTTCTTACCAAGTGTGAGACCATGAGTTGAAATCCTAGTACTGCCATAGAAAAAGAGAAAGGGTTTACAAAGAGCAGTCATATAACTGAAATATTCTGCAGTGGATGAAGAAAGGATGTTCATGTATTGAGTAATTTGGTGAGGAAAAAAAAAGGATTTTACTGTTTCTAGCCTTGTAACAGTGACTGAAAAGCATATCAACTGAAAAGCTATGGCTCTCACCTTTTTAGTGTCAAAAATTCTGAAAGCTGATTTTTACTAATTTCTTAATTCCTCTATGGTTTACATTCTAAATAACAGCTACTTTTTTTCCTATAGAAAAGGGTGGTTGTAACCAACCTGAACGGACATACTGCTCGAGTCAACTGTTTACAGTGGATATGTAAACAGAATGGCTGTAAGTATTACTCTGATGCTTAAGACTAATCTCAGTTGTTTTCTGATGGATATTATTTTTTTCTTTTAATTTACCATTATCTTATCTGATGTTATGCTATTAGGAAATAGAAGAAAAATTGTATTCTCTTGTTAAGAATCTGGCCTGTATTTGTACTTACAATAGTGGAAATATAGATAACACAAGTTTGTTTAGGATGAGTCTAGAAGCATCATTTGTCTGTGGCTACTTCCAGTTTTCTGGTGGTTAATTGGTTATCAGAGTGTTTTGGACTTTCCTGCCCGAGCTGGATTTGAACCACAAACCTCAGATCTCTGCCTCCTGATTAGCTATGATTAAAGGCTTGAGCCATTTTTGCACAGTAAATTCTAGGGACCTTTTGATTTTTCCTTTATTTCAATGACCACTGGCCATTCAGCTAATCTCCGGTTTTAAATATTTTCTGTCATGTCTTTTGCTGTTGAGTTCTAATTTAATCCATTTTGGTCTGCCTTCCCTTCCTTCCTTCCTTCCTTCCTTCCTTCCTTCCTTCCTTCCTTCCTTCCTTCCGTCCTTCCTTCCTTCCTTCCTTCCTTCCTTCCTTCCTTCC